TCGAGTCCAGCCCGAGCTGAGCAGCCACTGAGCTGCCAACAGGTAGCAGGATGGCTCAGCTAAAAAAAAAAAAAAAAGAAAGTGGTAGAGCCATGATTTGCACTCAAGCAATTCTGTATCCTTAAAAGATAGCTCTTGAGATATTATGAGAGGTTTGATTGGCACGACAGGGAATTCGAGGCAGGGAGATTGCGGTGGAGGCTCTTGAAATTGTCAGGAGAAAAGAGGAACAGAGACACACAAATGACAAGAGACATTGCCAAATGGAATCCAGAGCATGTGGTCCCTTGGTGTGGAGGAAGAATGAAGCATTGAAGGTGATTTCTGAGGGCTAGTTGGTTTTTTTTTCTAGATTCCTCTACAACAGGAAACATAAAGAAAGAATGGAATTGGATGAAAACAATGATTTGTGTTTGGGGTTAAGGTGAGGAAACCAGGACATTGTTAGCGCCAGGCTCTGGAGCTCAAATAAAAGATCAGGAAAAAGATATGGGGTTCTCGATTACTTGGGCATATTCTTCAAGTTTCCTTAAGTGCTTATTTTTGGCTTTGGCCTCTCACATCAGCTACCATATATTGAGTTTGTTTCTTCTTTTTTTCTTTTTTTGCTTCCTTGACAGAGAAGTAAAAGTATGCTCATAATTTATGTAATGTGCCATTGTCATTATAATACATAATCCTATCATGTAGGCTTGGCCAGATATCTAAGAGGGAAGAAGCTGAATGAGATTTTCCTGCTTCCATATTTTATCGGTATTGTTATATCTGTTGTGTGCTGCTCATCATCGAGAATTAGATCTAAGCTCACACTCTCTGGACCCATTTCGCCAACTGCTGCTCACTAGGATGTCAGGTGCGCTAGAGAGACTGCCCTGAGCTCCACCTGATGGCTTATCTCATTGAAAGCCAGACTTTGGGTTCCTGTGGTATTGGCTCCGATTGCAGAGCTGGACGAGGTCTGCTAACGACCTTTCACTCTGATGTCCTCTGCAGACACTGCCTCTTTGGGAGCCAGGACCTGTGACGATGACCTTACGGAACAGCCGTTGAGAGCAGCCTCAGGTAAAATCGGTCTATTCATCCTCAAAATTGAGTCAGTCCTCAATGAGATACAGTTGTTCCTCTCATAATTTACGCAATAAATGGATCTCTGGAACTGCTCTAATTTGATATGATCAGATCCCTTATACAAATAAGTTAACAGCAAAATAAAAAACGTCCATATATTTGGATGCACATGTAAAGTAAGTACTTAAAGAACAAGTAACCTCTGCTGGATAATTTCTCACATCTACATTTATACACTATGAAGTTTCACCGAAGTGGTCCATTTTTATACGAAGTATAAGTCAATAAGCCGGATATTATTGTTGCACAAGTCCAACAGCCCAGTTGGTGGAGTTATGTTTGGTTAATTAATGGGTTGATTGGATTTTGTATAGCTATGTCAACACATTCACTAGTCTCGGTGCTTTGTGTGCAATGTGTATGTTAAAAATGGCAGCCGTGCCTTGTTAACTGCATTATATACAGATAATTTAAGAGGAAATTCACCCATGTTGCTACAACACACCTCATTTATTTCTGCTATATAAACATGATCCCAGTTTCTAGATTTATACAATTGGAATAGTAGTGTGCTATATAGAACAAAAAATGGTTATTAAAAAAGACTTTCACATTCATAATGGGGTATTGAAATACTTAAATAAAAATACAGCTTTGCAAGTGAAAACATTCCTCCAATATAAAGTCAGGATTTCCCTGTTAAGAAATTATACAAAGTTAACTTTACTTTCACCTATGCATGTCTCATGAATACTTTTTAATTTTAGATGTTGTTTTTTCCTAGAAAACTAGATGGCATATTTAAGATACAATAGCCCAAATCCAGTTCCTCTCCCCCACCTCAAAAGATTTCATAAATGATCAGATTAGAAATAATAGGGCAAAAATCAAGACCATGACAAAAAATTCCCAAACTGTGTCTCTTATTAGAGACCATTTCCTGTGACTACATTTCTTTCTTGTTTTGTAAACAAAGACACAAAAACCTGCATCTTCATCTCAATCTCTCTGAGAAGTTTTATATTTAGATACTCCCATGCCTCCTGGGTATTTTCATGGAGATGTTCTACATGGAAATCAAATGTAAAAATTCCAAGTCGAACACCTTTTTTTCTGTCAAACCATGTCTTCTCTTTTTTCTCCATCTCAGTTGAGGATGACACCATGCCATAGACCTAGTTACCCCAAGTAAGTAAACTAGGAATCATCAGCTATTTTCAAAATATTAGTGCCAGAGATGGCGGGGCATACGTCATGAATAAGACAGATGAAGTCTCTCACTTTTGGACATGATTTCTATACAAATGAGTTATTTTCAGATTGCAACAACCATGATGAAGCAAGTAAAAGAGGTTCTGAAAATGTGGTCCCCAGAAGGGGGGAGTAACCTCTGTTGAGAAAAGAGAGTGAAGGAAGACAGAGACACAGAAGTCCCCCTTACCGTACACAGCATGGAAATCGTTGGTGGCTTTGAGAAGAGCAATTTGTGTGAAGCCAGCCTGGAGAGGGTTGAATGATGAGTGCGACTTAGTAGAAAGAGAAAATGCACACATACCCAAACCAGACTGAAACCGAACAAACAAATACCTCTTTTCTGCTTTATTATAAGGAATAATAAAGGGATGGCATAGAGGGGACTCCCCTTTTCTCCTCCCAGTTTTGCTTCCTAAATTCAATTCAGACTGCCAGCCAGCCTGTATTGCCTGCCTACTGTATTGCAGGCACTGTTCCAGGTGCTCCTGGCATAAAGATAAAGGAGATAATCACTGTTTTCAGCAAGTGTGTACCTATTAGGGAAAGTAGGTAATCCAAAGGTAATTTCCACGTACTAGGGTAGGTTGTTTGACATTGATGTTCAGGAAAAAGAAGACAATCTTATTCAGAAACATTAATCCCAGCTCAAGGTTCAAGGAAGACTTTTTGGAGAGAGAAGTAATTCATGGTACTAGTAATGATACAGCTAACATGTTTAAATACTTGTTTTGTGTTAGGCTCTGTGCTGACTGATTTGTATGTCTTACAACCAACCTCTGAGGTAGGCAAGACTGACTCCATCTTCACAGATGATGAAACCGATATTTCGCAAGGTGGGCTTGAAGGAAACAAACGAAGCAAAACAAAACCATGTATACAGTGGAGAAAAGTTGTCCTAGATAAAACGAGGCAATAGAATGGTCTGTATAGGAAGAAGGCATCGATAACAGCCGCGTGTTTCCAGAACAGTGGTTCACAGAATGGGGTCCCTGGACCAGGGGCCTCATCATCACCTGGGAACATGCAGATGGACTTTTCAGGCCTCCCTCTAACCTGTTGAATCGGAAACTCGAGGGATGACGCCCAGCAGCCTGATTTCTAACAAGTCTTCCAGGTGATTCAGCTGCCATACCGTTTGAGAAAACTGTTCTTACATATTAAGTGCCAGGTAGGAAGGGAAGAAAGAAGACACTGGCGTGGTAAACAAGGACCGTGTCCCTTGGAGGTATTCTTGCCATGTGCAGAAGATCGAACTTTTTCTTTATAAGGGATGGGAGTCCCTGAAAGATTTTAAGTAGATAGAAATAGATCATACGGAGAGTAGATTTGAAGGTTGGGGGTGAGGACTGGGCAGCAAGACAGTAGAAGGGCCCAGGGAAGGCTTCTTATAAGCCAGGTGTCTTGAAGAGATAGATGCTCAGTATATAAAACTAAAGCTGCTTAAGTTACTGCCCTCTGTTTCCTCTGTACATGACGACTCCATGGGCTTAAAAAGCATGTAATGTTTTCCTTAGAAGACAGAGAGAGGGGTTTCAAACCCATTGTGTATAGACCATTGGGAACCAAGCACAGTTCTCTGACGCTTAGATCAGAGGTACATCACTGGAGTAGAATTGCTTAAATATTGTATATTATAATGTTATAGGATAAATTAATAGTAGTTTTTCTAACTGTTTTTTTTTATTCTTCAATGATAATAACTCTAAGCTAGTCATTCAAAACTTTTCTTTCAAATATAGCTTATGTGGACGTGTAAAGTAACCTTTAGGACCATCATCATTTCCGCCATGATAAAAATGCTAGGGGAAATTAATTGTGCTGCACTTCTAGAAGACTACAGTATTATTTGGAAACATTTTAAAATTAAAATATATTATCAATTGTCTGAAAACTGGGAAGTTCTACCGGACCCTAATGCACATTTTAACTGTAAGCACATTCGTATCATAAAGTGTAACATATGAATAGATGTTATAATACTTTCATTATTACTATATGTCATAGATTAGTGAAGAAACTTAATAATGAAAGTGAAAACTGCCTTAGCATCTTTATCTTGGAATTTCATGTATCTTTATTTAGAAAATTTACATAATAGAATTTATATAATTTTCTGCAGTTTCTAAGGCATCCCTTTAACACGTTTAATGTCATATATGTGTGTGTATATATATATATATATATATATTGTGTGTGTATATATATATATATATTGTGTGTGTATATATATATATATATTTTTTTTTTCCTACAAAGCATCTTACATTATATGGCCTTTTACAATCGAGGAAGCGTGATACTTGAAAATTAGAATGTAGCACCCTTTCCCTTTTCCCCAAATCCAGTGTTCAGTTTTTCTGGATAAAGTGATTTCCCCGCATTCATACTTTTAACTCTAAAGTCTATTTATAAAATGAATGTCAACTTTACTTCAAAAACTCTTTAGAATAAAAGTGACTTTCGGGGGTGGGGTGGGACTTGTATGAAACTTTATGGTGTATATCAGTTACCCTTTGATTATTTTTTGCATGATTAAAAATTTGCGAAGTTCTATGGCTCCAAAGAGCCTACCTGTAATAAACAGCTTTCGCCTTCGAAACCACAAAACAGGTCTGAATTGCTTGAGCATTAGAGCTAATTGCCTGCCTACTTCAAAGGAAGAACCAGAAAAGGGGGGGGGGCGGGGAGGGGGGAGTCACAGAAGCAGAGGCAATGCGGGCCAATCCACCTCAGAGGTTATGAGCTGTGGCTTGGAAGGGCCGGGCTAAGTTATGGCCTCGGAACTGCTGTTTGCGATTAAGTTGATGGGGAGAGTCTATCCCACAGTCTCTCCCTGCTGCTGACACAGAGTCTTTGTTCACATTCAGATTTCTCAAACTGTTGCCAGGGTCAGGCTGAGGTCAGACACCACAGTGATGTATGGAAGAACATGTCTGGGAATTTCTGTCGCCCTTAAAACACATCCTAGAAAATGAAGAATTGGACCCTGCGAAAACTGTCTGATGAGACCCAGATTATACTGTAGTTTTTCTTTGAGGACCTTCATAATTTTCGTTTTCTCCTCCTGACACGCAATGTTTTATTAATGCGAGTTGCGATAGCCCTTACCATTTTATGTCCCCTCAAGATAAGGACCCTGGTAGCACTCTGACACTTCATTTTCCAGCCCTGGGGTAAAGGTCCAGTAAATCTACTCACAGAAATCGTGCATCCTTTGCCCAGGATGAGCTGAAAAGTAATTGCTGTGGGTTGTCATAGGTCGCGGCCTGACACTGGATGTCACGTCACGTCACGTGTGTGGACTTGGCAGGGACACAGCCCAATCCGGTCATGAGCTCAGACTTCCAGCCTCCCCAAACCATGCCGGAGTCCCCACCCAGCCTGGGCCCGTGCTGGGGAGCCTGTGTTTGATCAGTAATTATCACTGCCGGGAGAATGCAGGCGAGCGCCATGAGAAGTGTCCATTCTCTCTTCTTAAAGTCACATGTCCATGTGTGTTTGCCTGAAAGGGAACCTTCACTCAAATGCTCAGATGACTGACCCCCCCCACCCCCTTCCACGGCGACCTCCCCTCTGCTTTTGTTCAGTAGCAAAGTGCAAATATGGAGTGGATGGATTTGTATGGTGCCTCGCCAGACTCACAGTAGAAGCAGACTCTTATTTCGAATGTATTAAATGTCTTGTTTTCCCCCTTCACTTTTTGGGGTTGCCCTGGTGAAACACAGAACTGCCCCCCTTGGTTGTGTGCCCCTCACACGGTTGCAGAGCGTGGTGGCAAGAGAGGCACTAAATAGCAATTTTTTTTTTTTGTGCTCAGCTGCTACATATGACAGTGGATATTTCATTCCGCTGTCAGAACGTTATTAATAAAACATGGGGTGTGGAGAGGGCCACAATTTCCCCTTTCAATCACTATAGCATTTGCAATGAAAATTTTATGCAGTGTGTAATTTTCAGTTAACGCTTGACACTTAAAATGTCCATAGCAGCGTTTTGTCTGGTTATTGAAGGGTTAATTGTATCATGTTCTCTGCATAAAAGCTTTGCTTATCAAAAGCAAATAGAAGAACGTATGCATATGTGTGTCGATGACCTTTTGCCTCTCCAGGGTTAATTTATATGGTCATTAAAGATTTTATGAAATTGAGCAGCCTGGTGCTTCAAATCCCATTCTGCCTTCTTCTCCTAATTTATGTCATTCCTACCTGAACAGGGGAATATGATTTTTATTATTTTTTTTTCTGCTGCCATGCTGTGGGGAGTTGCAAGCCTGGTTATCTGGCATTACTCAGATTGCTAAAAATTCATTAAAATGTGACATCAGCGCAGTGAGAGACAAATGATCACAGGATGAAAGAGAACAGTGGGCCTTTCACGGATTAGTGCTACACAGACCCAGCATAGAGGCTAACTGCATAAACAGATTAATCCACCAGCAGCGGCATAGCTAAGATTTACAGAATAATTAAATAGGGTTGAGTTACTATGAGGATTTCCATGTAATCTAGCTGGTGTGAACCCGTGAATGAGGTGTGGGGTGATGTGGTTGTCATACAAGAAATAGACCTTCTTATGTCGTATGCCCTGCATAGCTCCCCCTATAGAAAAAAAAATCCCAATGTAACTGAACTTTGGAGATCTCACTCTGACAAATTTCAAAGAATTCCTCTGGGGTCTGGGGACTGAAGGCAGGAGTAACACCTGTCTTACATTTAACCTGTCATTATCACATTATTCCACGAAGAGTTTTTTTTTTTTTCTAAGAATTTGGTTTGCTCTGCCATCTATCCACATCCAGGGAACAGGGGGTCCAGGTGGCCTCGAAGCTTCTACTGTTGAAATGACAGAACTGCCTTGCACCCAGTTTTCAATCATTCCTAGCTTCCACTGTACTTAAAAGTGATTTCTTTTATTTCCATTTAGTACAGGTCCATTTTCTCAATGGATATACACGAAGTCGCTTTAGATAAAAATTCGCACGGGTAGCGTCAGCAGGTTCTCATCCAGGGGTTTTGAATAAATGTATGTTCGTTTTTGAGAATGAACGTCTGCAGATGATTCATAAGGAATCAAGTTTTTAAATGGTCACGTAGTGATTTGAGTGTGCATGTGGGGGAGAGGGCGGGTTTCAGTCCTACTGACGGGTCTGCTTTTCTTAACAGAAGACCAAGGTGAGGAGGCAGAGGGAGCTATTAAACCTACAACAGTGGCTGAGGAGGACGAGAAAGACAGAAGTGAGAGAGACACTGGCGAAGGCAAAAACTCTAATAAAGAGTCTGGTAAGATGCGAGAATCCGTTGCCTTTCCTTCCCCCTGCCCCAATCAGCCCTTCCTTTATCCACCCACCCCCAAGCTTATTAAAAGCTTTTATTCATTTTAAACTGCCTGAACATCTCCACTACTATTCATTGCATGCGATTTCTATCAGTAACCTCCCATTGACCTATTTTTAATCATAACCATCTGACGGAATAGATGTGGATAAGTTGAAGAATATTACAGGACGACCAGCGAGATTATTTTTTAATCAAATCAGTTTGTGTGCTTGTAATTTTTTAAGCGCCTTTCATTAATCTTAGCTATACTTGTGATTCCTCTGATGGCATATTAATTTTTCATAAGCACAGGATTCGATATCACTTGAATTTTTTCGTTCAATCACAGACAACCTTCCCCCCACCCCCCGACACACACATACCACGTAACCCTAAAAATAAATGTTGTTTTTCCTTGCTTTTTTTTTTTTTACAACTTACACTCAGGAATTTGCCCTTTTTAAGGGCATCTATTTGAGGCATTTCAAACAAAATCCAGTGAAAAAAGTTTACGGATGATTCAGCCTAAGCAAGAGGAAATATCATTGAAAAGGGATTAGGTGCTGGGTAATTCTGATCTTCTGGAATAGACAAATCCCAGTAATGAAAGCTACTGTCTTTGAAAACAAACCCTCATGTCGTGACATTTACTTGTGCACAAACAAAGCCTAGGCCAGCATCTGGTGTGGATACCTAAGGCTTTTTCTGTGTTTGATTTGGCAAATATATGACTTCATCCGTGCTTTGTATGTATGAGATGAAAATATGTGGCCCCAATGAATATTACATTGGCTACTTTTGCTGCACACTATACCTAGGTTTATTATGTTGGACTCATTGAAGCAGAAGAAGTGCTGAAACGGGTTCAAGCCTATTAGTTTCAGGTAGTCATCTATCTTTCTCTTGAGTTCCAGTGACAGCCGCATATAAAGAAGCTTGTTTTCACTATGAAGACATTGGGTTGTGCACAAAATATCATTTTTACATGCAAGTTTATTTAAACCTGAATTATCCCCCATTTGTAATTCAGTCTTTGCGTATCTTAGTTTTTCTGCATTCTCTTCGAGAAGTATTGGAAGGGCCGCCCTGCTCCTCGCCCCACACCGTTCAATGCTAAATTGCTCTCAGGAGTCCAGTGAGAAAGTGCCACTTAAATTTGCGTCCAGGATGTAGTGGCTAACATATGATTCTAATTTGACTTGAACAAAGAGGATCTAAGGTCGGTATTGAGCCTAAAGCAATGTAAAAAAAAAAAAAACAAAGAAAAAAAGATGCCATAGCTGTATATTAGTGAGCCGGCTCCTGAGGTTACTGACAAGGAATTTGAAGTACCTAGCGATCAGTTAAGGTCAAGGGTAGTGCTATCTAAGCCTCATTTGAAAGGAATTGGAAATACCAAGGGAGTCCGTGTATTCACGCTAGGGTGGACCTCGGCAAGACAACTTGCGGGAGGGCAGGGTTCTGCCTGCGCTCCTTCAGTGGCGTCTTTGTCACCATTGTACCAGGAGAGACGGCAGGCTCCACCCCTCCCAGGTGTCAGAAGAAGGCAAAACCCAGAGCTAGCACAGAAGAGTTCACCGAGCGTAATACTCAGGTCTATGACATCGTGCTGGGCTTTAAATATCGAATACCTTATAAAGGATGGATTCTGGGAGTCACTTGAAAATAGCTCCAGGCTCACCACTGGGGGGAAGGGTCTTGCCTGGAACGTACCACAGAGGCGGGCCCTCCACCCCCACCAGCACCGTGGACTGCTCTGCATAAATAATGGGCTCCCTCACTCCCTAATGGCCTGATGAGTTATTGCCCTTTCTTGAGCGCCTAGTTGTACCATATAGACAGGACTGGAGCACAGGAGAGGACACAGAACGTTGCGTAATGGCAGTCATTTCAAATGCATTCTTATCCCTGCAGAAATGCCTCCCCACGTGTATCTATAGGGATAAAAATGGGCTTTGAGCACCAACCAAAAGCAATTACCGAGATGCAAATATTTAGCCTTGAAACCTCCCAGACTTCAACACAATTCTCGTTATGGACAACGAACACGAACTTTTAACAAACTTTTCCACTTTCTAAATTGAATGCAATTAGGTGAGAAGATTATTGCACGGATTTTTTCCCCCCCCCGCTTGTAAATATTTCTCCTGATTGAGTAGCCGTTTATGTACATATTGTGTTTTCCTCATGTCAGTTAGAAATGTCTAAAGCTATGAGCAAACTTACAAATTAATCACTATCTTAATGTGTTAGATGGGAAAACAGTGTGACCCCGCTTTAACACAGAATTTTTTAGACAGCAAGGAATTAACACATGTTAGGAAGACTGTGTTTGTGTAAGCTGTTGTATAGTGTTGCTGACATTAATCTCTAGGACTAGAGCTTTCAAAATGAGACTTGGCAATATGCAAGTTATATTTGTTGAATATTCATTCATAATAGAAAAGCCTCCTAATGCCTCATTTATATTGTCATTTAAATCTAGTGCCACTTTAGATTAATTATAATCCAAATTATAGCTCTGTGCAGTACGAGAATTAATATAGAGTTTATCCAGATTAATACATTTGCATTGAAAATGTAATATGTCTCTGCCATGGCGAAGGGGACCACTTTTTAATAAGGGAGTAAACATGAGGAAGGATGGAAATTAACCTTCATTATTGCAATTAAAATTATCCTTTCATTCTAGTCTCATTAAAGAGAAGACCGTAACGGTAATTATAATTTAAAATTATTTGGAGTTGAATAACATCTGTTATCTCCAAGTTTTATAGTATTCAAATGTCATCAAATACATTGATTCATAAATAATAACTCAGTATTTTGTTTTATTTTTTCATGATTTGCTTTGAGTACATATGTGTTATTGGATTTTCCTCACTTGTTATGAGTATAAACCATTTTGCAACCTTCTGTATTTTAGGGATTGAAAATTATTAAGTAGGCGGTATCTGAATTGAAATGAATTATGTCATTTTTATATTAGCAATCTCATGCAAGTTAAATAATCTCATAACTGACAGATAATCACTGGCTCATCTATTTGGCAGTGCTTATTTATAATTAGACATCATTTTTTTTTAGTTTAAGTGCATTAAAATGACATTGTTTTTTGAGAATACTGTGATGTCCTTAATAACACAAAATGGCTTATGATCTCATTTCAAAATTTTGTCTAGGGCATCAAACAGGGTTTATTTCAAATAAAGTTACAGATATAAACTATGAATAATCACCAAACTTAATCAAAACCTTCCTAAAATTGATTGGCCCTTATTTAATGTATTTCTAGGATAAACAATGCAGAGAAAGACCCCAGAGTTGAGCCCTTATAATTCACTAGGGAGGCCGTAATACCTGAGATAGCACCCCTTTGAAAAGTAGAAAAGGCACACGTGCATAAAATGTAACTTCTATCAACTTTGCAAAAAATTCTGATGAACTGCCGTATCCTCAAGAGTCTGTTTGTGTCTATGTGATCACATTTTGGCATTCTCTGCTCTTCTTATTAATGGCACGCATTTCTGGGGTGCCTAACTATAAATAGGAGGGCCTAGTTTCTATTTATAACTTCTTTTTAATTTAAAATAAAATCGTCCTTACACAGCTCCCAGCTTACATTAAGATCATGGTTTAATTAAGTAGCCCCAAAATACTGAAGTTGACATATATATTGGAGGGACTACTGTGGCCAACAGTTATCACAATGGCTATGAAATGACCCTAAAACCTTAACTGGTATTTTCTTGGTGCGGCATGACTGTCACTAAATTCAAAAGCAACTATATTGTTGATAAATATGAATAAGCCTAAAAATAACATGGATTAACTATACAAACAGGTACACCAATGTATAGTATAGTAACATGTTTCAAAGCTTGAAATCCGTTAAGTTGTTTTTTATCTTTTATAGTACCAATATTAGAATACATATATTTATGAAAATAAGGCCATAGCTATACATTCAATAGATTCAGAAGTTTCTGGAAGGTTTATTCTATGTCTGATGTTTCATAGGGCCTGTGACAGTCTCTGATCATATAAGGAACTGGACCAACTTTTATTTTGGTCATGTCTGTTTCTACCATGTACACAAACACAGCATGATAAGGGACTATATGACAGTATTATTTTCTTAAAGGAACATATTCTTACTCCCTAATGGAGAATTTTCAAAATACAATCTTCCAGCCTCACAGGAGAAAGGAACTGATGGGCATTGGCTGATGTAAATGACAGTCATCTTATACAACTTGATCTGACACCTTTAGCAGTAAATTTTATTTGCAGATACTCTATAGCATATTATTTTCCTGAACGTTTATTTCTAACACTTTAAAAACAATAGCACAGAGTATATTCTTCTTTGAGAAAGAAAAGCCTATTTTTTTATGCTAGAATTAATTATGAAATAAACATTCCTGTTTCTGGCATTATCTTTGGGTATCAAATACCTGGACAGTGTTTGATCAATGTAATGGAATTCTTCAGTCTCTCTCAAATTTTTCATTCAAATGTAAATATGATAAATTATTGTTTTCAACTATCTAGAAAGAACCTAAATTTCCTCAAGGCATCTGTATGTATAGGGAAAATGTACCAATTTAAATAAAATCTGATGTTTGTAAATCCAGAAATCAATATCAGTGTAATTTGTTGAAAATGTAGCACTAATTCTGTAGCTACCACAAACTCGCCGAGGGAGTAAAATTATCATCATTATGTCCTTAAAATTCTATTTTAATTTTTCTGTCCTTGGAGACACTCTTACTTTTAAATTCCTTTCAGAATTCAAAATTCCTGAAGTTGTTTATATGGTTTAAACATGCATCTCCATCCAGGATGGAAAAAGAATGTTATTTTTTTGGGGGGGGTTCATTTTTACTTTGTTTCCATAACATCTTTGACCTTATTTTTAAATTAAAACTGGGTTATTTTGCAATAAGTTGCAATTTGTTCATTTATATGAACCGTATGTGGATTGAAAAAAAAATCAAGATAAATCTTCATGCACAGCATACAATCAGATTACGCCTAGACTATATTTACGCGGAGTCTGATAGCAATCAATGGTTTAGCTTCACTGCATTTCAAGATGTATTTGCACCCAGTTGTCCAGTGATAGTGTCCTCACCCTGGAAATAATTTAGTTGCAAATTGACTGGAAGACGGTGAAAATTGAAAGTTAAAATTAGAAATACTCATAATAAACAGCAGAAAAAAGGTCAGATGATGCCGCGCTATGATGAGATTGGAATGGCTGGTAAATGAGGTTTTGTGTTTGTCATGAGATGTATGTGACATGCCTACCCAATGTTGCTGTACTATCCAGCCTCGCAGAGGAGATTATCGGGAAAATTGATGCTGGAAAGAATTTTCCGTTAGATTGGGAAATTAGAAGCACACTCTTTTTCTTTGATGGGTGAGCCCCCTACGCATTGCATTGCTCACCTAGGCAAAATTGTAAACCCTCTTGAACACTGAATATCTGGATTAACCTCATAAAAAACAATTGTCTTCTTGAGATTTGGACGACAGTAGTATGTGTACAGCAAAGAGTAAGTCACAAAAAAACAGCAGGTGATATGTATGTAACAGGTAGTTAATTTTTCAGGCCTACCTTCATCATGGAAGAGTATCATTTTTGCTTCTGAATTATAACTAGTTAGCTCTTCTCAGAATTTTGAAATGTGTTTGGTGTCCCAGCATTTTGAACAAGAGATAGGTTAATTAAACGTTAGTAAAAATAATTATGTTCTCAGTTAGCATTCGTGTATGGGAGTGGATTTGCTTTAATGTGGTAAAGGCATTCTGAGACACTAGAGAGCAAGTGTTATTGATGAATCTTTCAAGGTCACCTAGGGTTATCTAAACACGAGACAGGAGTACATTTTAAAATATATTTATAAAGTCCACTTAGTCGGTGGACACAAAGAAGTATACTTTTTGCCTTTTGAGATTAGCATTATTTAAAAGTGTCCTCTGTGTGTGTGTGTGTGTGTGTGTGTGTGTGTGTGTGTGTGTGTGTGTGTGTGACTCAGCGGATTTAAATTCAGAGCAATATGAAAGACATACGTTATTTCAGGTTTTGACATCTGTATTTGTTAGTCGTTTGAAATTGAGGTGTTCTCTTCTTTTTTGGGGGACCCAGGAATCATCACACCAGAAAAGGAACTAAAAGTCAGTGTGTCAGGGGTGACCCAGCCACTCCTGCTGGCAAAAGAAGAAGATGTTGCAACAAAAAGATCAAAACCAACAGAGGACAATAAATTCTGTCACGAACAGGTGAGTATGTTTTTTTGCCCTCTGCAGTGTCAACCTGTTTTTTTTGTTGTTTTTTTTCAATATCTTGTATTATGGCTTCTGGTAGTTTTAGAGCCCCCGATGACTCCACGCTGCTGAACAGTATGGGGACATTGTCACAGGCAATGCCATGACCCCCTGGTATTGCTTCTAGCCTCTGACGTCATCAGAATTCACTAACTAAGAGTGGTCATATTTATTCACTGTTTTCCAGTTCTATCAGTGTCCTTATTGTAACTACAATAGTAGGGACCAAAGTCGTATCCAGATGCACGTCCTGTCACAGCACTCAGTGCAGCCCGTCATCTGCTGTCCCCTCTGCCAGGACGTCCTCAGCAGTAAGATGCATCTCCAGCTGCATCTGACGCATTTGCACAGCGTGTCTCCGGACTGTGTGGAGAAGCTGCTCATGACAGTAAGGACACCAAATGTTGATGCATGTGTGACGCGATCTCTGGAAAGGCGGCAACACAAAATCTGCAATTACGAGTCCATAGAAAATCATTTCTTCTTTGCTGCTTAAAAGCTGTCTCACTGACTGTGTTGTACAAACCCCAGTTATCACCATTCAAGGTCCATTTGTTATCTTTTTTTTTGCTTAAGGAAAAGAAACCACTATGCTACTGGCTTATCTTATTTAGTAACATATTTTTGTCACCTTATGTTTATACCTATAATGTTAGTTATATGAATCATGTGGACACACTGAATTTCAAACTTTCTCGAGTGTCAGTATAAAAAAAATAGACCTACGAAAACCGTATTTTAAGAAAAGGCCACCACAGCATTGCCACAGCATTGGTCTGAAATTTGAAGGGATAGCAGTGGCCTGTAAGAGCCACAAAATGGCCCTGCTTTGGCTGGAAAAATCAAAGTGGGTTATGCTACTGCGGAACGGCAGATGTGATGGAAGTCTGTGATTTCTGGTACGTTTGACATGTTTCATGTATGTTTTGACATGAACCGCTTTCGTTGTCACAGGTGCCTGTCCCTGATGTCATGATGCCAAACAGTCTGCTTCTGCCAGCGGCAGCCTCTGAGAAATCGGAGCGGGACACACCTGCCGCCATCACAGCTGAGGGGTCAGGGAAATATTCAGGTATGCCAGCCGATGACCAGGATCACTTCAGGGGTTTGCATGTGTGGTGATGCTCCAAGATGATTATTATGAAAGATTTAAAAAAATAAAACAGGTAAAAAAACAAACAAAACACTGCGGAAAATCAATATTCCAAGAGTTATCTCTTTCAACGCATAGTTTTCTGGTTATCTGTCATTGCCCTTGGGAGACCCAAGTGTTGATGACCAAGAATATTCTGTGGTTCTAATTCCCGAACACTGAGGTATGCCCCTTGGTGTCGCACTGACTGTATCACCCTAGAATTACCTGTGACTTTTTTTCTTCCCTGCCCTAAAATTCCTTGAGGGCCAGGGGCGATTTCGTGTCCCCAAGTGCCCAGTATAATGGTTGCCTTAGAGTAGTTGCTCAATAAATATGTCTTCAAAGAACCAATTAAGCAGAAACCTGTGCAGTCTCCTACTTCTATTGATAGGCACACAAGCAGCAGGCGTCCTTCCTGTAAGTGATCCGTTCATGCTTTCTGTCACACAGGTGAAAGTCCAGTGGATGACAAAAGTATGGCAGGCCTTGACGATGCGAAGGCTGGCGTGGAAATCAAGACGGAGGAGCAGAAACCAACCAAAGAGCTCCTGGAAACGTCGGAATGGAACAAAAATAGCAGCAAGGATATGAAAATCCCCGACACACTGCAGGATCAATTAAGCGAGCCACAGAAGAGGCAGCCTCTGTCTGTTTCCGACCGCCACGTGTACAAGTACCGCTGTAACCACTGCAGCCTGGCCTTCAAGACGATGCAGAAGCTTCAGATACATTCCCAGTATCACGCGATTCGGGCCGCGACGATGTGTAATTTCTGCCAGCGCAGTTTCCGTACATTCCAGGCTTTAAAAAAACACTTGGAAGGAGGCCACCCCGAGCTGAGCGAGGCCGAACTTCAACAGCTCTATGCCTCGTTGCCCGTGAACGGCGAACTCTGGGCCGAGAGTGAAACCATGGCCCAGGACGACCATGTCCTGGAGCAGGAGATGGAGAGAGAATACGAGGTGGACCATGAGGGGAAGGCGAGCCCTATAGGAAGCGACAGCAGCTCCATTCCCGATGACATGGTCTCTGAACCAAAGCGGACCTTACCTTTTAGAAAAGGGCCAAATTTCACGATGGAGAAATTCCTCGATCCATCCCGCCCGTATAAATGTACAGTGTGTAAAGAGTCATTCACCCAGAAGAACATTCTCTTGGTCCATTATAACTCAGTGTCTCATCTGCATAAGTTGAAAAAGGTTTTGCAGGAAGCCTCTAGTCCCGTTCCTCAAGAAACCAACAGCAGCACAGACAACAAACCCTACAAGTGCGGCACGTGCAACGTGGCGTACAGCCAAAGCTCCACCTTGGAGATCCACATGAGGTCCGTGCTCCATCAGACCAAAGCCAGGGCGGCCAAGCTGGAGCCCGGGGGCCACAGCCTCGCAGCAAACGTTAACAGCCCCGGCCAGGGGATGCTGGAGTCCGTGAGTTTAGCGGCCGTAAGCAGCAAAGACAGCCACCTAGATGCCAAAGAATTAAGTAAAAAGCCAACTCCGGAACTGATCTCTGCGCAGCCTGCCCAGCACCCGCCGCAGTCACCAGCACACATTCAGATGCAGCTCCAGCACGAGTTACAACAGCAGGCGGCCTTCTTCCAGCCTCAGTTTCTCAACCCAGCCTTCCTGCCTCATTTCCCCATGACCCCGGAAGCGCTGCTCCAGTTTCAGCAGCCGCAGTTCCTCTTTCCCTTCTACATCCCTGGGACGGAGTTCAGCTTGGGGCCGGACCTGGGCCTGCCGGGCTCTGCGGCGTTTGGCATGCCCGGCGTGACGGGCATGGCCGGGTCCTTGCTCGAGGACCTGAAGCAGCAGATTCAAACCCAACACCACGTGGGCCAGACGCAGCTGCAGCTTCTGCAGCAGCAGGCACAGCAGTACCAGGCCGCGCAGCCCCCGCTGCCGTCTCAGAAGCAGCCCCAGCAGCCGCAGCAGCCGCAGGCGAGCAAAGCCCCGAAACAAGACCCGCCCAACCTGGCCAGCGCGGACTGCCCGGCCATGAAGGACATGCCACCTTACAAAGAGGCAGAAGACGCCGCCGAAAAGCAAGACAAGCCAAAGCAAGAATTGGCAGGCGACGGCGAAGGGCTCAAAGAAGGCAAAGACGCGAAGAAGCCCAAACCCTCGGAGCCGGCCCTCCCGCCTCCGCGGATAGCGTCGGGGGCCCGCGGAAACGCCGCCAAGGCGCTGCTGGAGAACTTCGGCTTCGAGCTGGTCATCCAGTACAACGAAAACCGGCAGAAAGTGCAGAAGAAGGGGAGAGGCGGGGAAGGGGAGAGCCCGGATAAGCTGGAGTGCGGGACGTGCGGGAAGCTCTTCTCCAACGTGCTGATTTTGAAGAGCCACCAGGAGCACGTGCATGGGCAGTTCTTCCCCTGCGGCGCCCTGGAGAGGTTCGCGCGGCAGTACCGCGAGGCCTACGACAAGCTGTACCCGATCTCGCCGCCCTCGCCCGAGACGCCCCCGCCGCCGCCGCCGCCGCCGCCCCCGCCCCCGTCCGCGCCCCCGCAGGTGCAGCTGCCGGTGTCCCTGGAGCTGCCCCTGTTCCCCTCCATCATGATGCAGCCCGTCCAGCACCCGGCCCTGCCGCCCCAGCTGGCCCTGCAGATGCCCCAGATGGACGCGCTCTCCGCGGACCTCACGCAGCTCTGCCAGCAGCAGCTCGGGCTGGACCCCGGCTTCCTGCGGCACTCGCAGTTCAAGCGGCCCCGGACGAGAATCACCGACGACCAGCTGAAGATCCTGAGGGCCTACTTCGACATCAACAACTCCCCGAGCGAGGAGCAGGTCCAGGAGATGGCGGAGAAGTCGGGCCTGTCGCAGAAGGTCATCAAGCACTGGTTCCGCAACACGCTCTTCAAGGAGCGCCAGAGAAACAAGGACTCGCCGTACAACTTCAGCAACCCGCCCGTCACCGTGCTGGAGGACCTCCGCCTGGAGCCGCCGCCCGCCGCCTTGGAGCACTACAAGGCGGACGCCTCGTTCAGCAAGCGCTCCTCCCGGACCCGGTTCACCGACTACCAGCTGCGGGTGCTGCAGGACTTCTTCGACACCAACGCCTACCCGAAGGACGACGAGATCGAGCAGCTGTCCACCGTCCTCAACCTCCCCACCCGCGTGATCGTGGTGTGGTTCCAGAACGCGCGGCAGAAGGCCCGCAAGAGCTACGAGAACCAGGCCGAGGCGAAGGACGCGGAGAAGCGCGAGCTCACCAACGAGCGCTACGTGCGCACCGCCAGCATGCAGTACCAGTGCAAGAAGTGCAGCGTGGTCTTCCCCAGGATCTTCGACCTGATCACGCACCAGAAGAAGCAGTGCTACAAGGACGAGGACGACGACGCGCAGGACGAGAGCCAGACCGAGGACTCCATGGACGCCACGGACCAGGTGGTGTACAAGCACTGCACCGCGTCGGGCGTGACGGACGCGGCCCGGGGCGCGGCCGCCGCCCCCGCGGCGGGTTCCGGCTCCGGGGCCAGCACCCCTCTCATCCCGTCGCCCAAACCCGAGCCCGAGAAGACGTCGCCCAAACCTGACTATCCCGCCGAGAAGCCAAAGCAGAGTGACCCCCCGCCCCCCGCTCAAGGCGCCAAGCCAGCCCTGCCGTTAGCCTCCGCTGCCTCCTCGGACCCGGCGCCTCAGCCCCCCAAACAACCCCAACTGATGGGGAGGCCCCCCTCGGCCTCCCAGACCCCGGTCCCGTCCAGCCCGCTGCAGATGCCCATGACGCCTCTGCAGAACAGCCTACCTCCGCAGCTGCTCCAGTACCAGTGTGACCAGTGCACGGTGGCCTTCCCGAGCCTGGACCTCTGGCAGGAACATCAGCACATGCATTTCCTCGCCGCGCAGAACCAGTTCCTTCACTCCCCGTTCCTGGAGCGGCCCATGGATATGCCCTACATGATCTTCGACCCCAACAACCCCCTGATGACCGGGCCGCTGCTGGCCGGGTCCCTGTCACAGATGGCCCCCCAGCCCGGCGCCTCGCACGCCGCGGGCCCCGCCACGGTCGCCGCCTCCCTGAAGAGGAAACTGGACGAGAAGGAAGAGAACAACGGCAGCGAGAAGGAGGGAGGCAACAGCGGCGAGGACCAGCACCGCGACAAGCGCCTGAGGACCACCATCACCCCGGAACAGCTGGAGATCCTCTATGAGAAATACCTGCTGGATTCCAACCCCACCCGGAAGATGCTCGACCACATCGCGCGCGAGGTGGGGCTGAAGAAGAGGGTCGTGCAGGTCTGGTTCCAGAACACGCGCGCCCGCGAGCGGAAGGGCCAGTTCCGCGCGGTGGGCCCCGCCCAGTCGCACAAGCGGTGCCCGTTCTGCCGCGCCCTGTTCAAGGCCAAGTCGGCCCTCGAGAGCCACATCCGCTCTCGGCACTGGAACGAGGGCAAGCAGGCGGGGTACAGCCTGCCCCCCAGCCCGTTAATCGCCGCCGAAGACGGGGGCGAGAGCCCGCAGAAATACATGTACTTCGATTACCCGTCCTTGCCGCTCACGAAAATCGACCTGGCGTCCAGCGAGAACGAGCTGGCCTCCACGGTGTCCACGCCGGTGAGCAAGACCGCGGAGCTGTCGCCCAAGAACCTGCTGAGCCCGTCGTCTTTCAAAGCCGAGGGCCCCGAGGACGCGGAGCACCTGCACGCCCCTCCCGCCGAGGCCGGCTACGACCAGAGCAAGGCGGACTTCGACGAGACGTCGTCCGTCAACACGGCCATCAGCGATGCCACCACCGGCGACGAGGGCAACGCCGAGGTGGAGAGCACCGCCGGCAGCTCCGGGGACGCGAAGCCCGCCCTGTCCCCTAAGGAGCCCAAAACGCTGGACGCTTTGCCCAAGACGGCCACCACCCCCACCGCGGAGGTCTGCGATGAAAAGTTCCTCTTCTCCCTCACGAGCCCCTCCATGCATTTCAGCGACAAAGATGGCGACCACGACCAAAGCTTTTACATCACCGATGACCCCGACGACAACGCCGACCGCAGCGAGACGTCCAGCATCGCGGACCCGAGCTCGCCCAACCCTTTTGGATCCGGCAACCCTTTCAAATCCAAAAATAACGACCGGCCAGGTCACAAGCGGTTCCGAACCCAGATGAGCAACCTGCAGCTCAAGGTCCTCAAGGCGTGCTTCAGCGACTACCGAACTCCCACCATGCAGGAATGTGAGATGCTCGGGAACGAGATCGGCCTGCCCAAGCGCGTGGTCCAGGTGTGGTTCCAGAACGCAAGGGCCAAAGAAAAGAAGTTCAAAATCAACATCGGCAAGCCTTTCATGATCAACCAGAGCGGCACGGAAGGCTCCAAACCCGAGTGCACCCTGTGCGGGGTGAAGTACTCTGCCCGCTTGTCCATCAGAGATCACATTTTCTCCAAACAGCACATTTCCAAAGTGAGGGAGACCGTGGGGAGTCAGCTGGACCGGGAGAAAGATTACTTGGCTCCTACCACCGTGCGGCAGCTGATGGCACAGCAAGAGCTTGATCGTATCAAGAAAGCCTCGGATGTGCTGGGCCTGGCGGTCCAGCAGCCCAGCATGATGGACAGCAGCTCCCTTCACGGCATCAGCCTGCCAGCCGCCTACCCGGGACTCCCTGGCCTTCCTCCGGTCCTTCTCCCTGGAATGAACGGTCCATCTTCCTTGCCCGGATTCCCACAGAATTCAAACAGTAAGTCATGTCAAGGAGAAGCAGTCTAATTAATTAGCTATATTAGGCCGCCAAGCATATGTAACCAAGTACAGCGTCCATGTGGAGTTCTTTTCAGTAAGTGAAGCCATTAAGTTATTTGAAATATATGTATTTTCTCGGCCATAATTATTACAAACCGGGAAGTAAGTCAAGCTGAACATACGCAGAGAAATAAAAATAAAGGTAGGTCATAGTAGTGTCTCAGAAATATACTCATGATTTATATGGTTAAGTCTTTATGTCTCAGAAATATTCCTTTTATACACTCATTGCAATACTGATTTGGTGTATATATTAAGGAAGCAAAGCACTAAATTGGTATCTTAGTTTATGTTCTTTCTAAGGAACGTGTTTTTTGGTGGTGGTGGTGTGTTTGTTTGTTTGTTTTCCCCATAAGTGCTAGACAGTTCAAAAGTTTAAGGGCCTTCTAGCCACAAGAATTCGCCTACATCACACCTAGCAGGTAATAGCACATGTTTAAAGTTTAACTACCAACAAATATGACTTCTGGGGTAATTTGTAACTTGGCATGGCTATAAGATTTTGATTTTTGCAGCATCCATGGTTGCTTGTTATTTAAATACATTTACCACCTTAGAAATATATTGACATTACTCCATGCCCTTCTACTCAGACCCCCACCCCAGCCAAAGTCTATAATTAAATCAAAACGAAGTTGTAAAGCTATTTGAGGCAACCTGAGAAAATCCAATTCTGTGTTCATCAGGAGAAACATAATTTGTGCAGTTTTCATTTTGTGAATAAGTATAGGTATCCAGTTATATTAGGTTGAAAAAATTGAATGTAGTGTGCTAGGCAGTCACATAGCCAAACATAACAAATGTTAAATGTTTTATATGTTATGTAAAAGTTATATATTACCCAAAATAGAAAAAAGATTCTCTTACAATTTCTTCTTTAAAGCAAGTTTTATTTTTCAAATCAACAGTGCCTTTTTTTTCTCTTTAAAAAGAAATTTTGACATTCTAAAGAGACTTATCTAGAGCGAAATAACTACATATTTCTAGAAAGTTTCCAAAACATGGGAGAGCTTTCTTCATTTGCACAAAGTGGACTTCATTTCAGACTTTTCAATTTTGCTCTTCTCTTAGAAAAACCAATCTTGCCATGTGATCTTAGGACAATGTTCTCATTTTAACATTTAGCTCTGGAGACATGATAACAGTGATAGCAAATGGCCCCTTGGTCACTGCCAGCCCACCTGGTTCCGTGTTCTTAATGACTCATTGGCATTAGAGAGAAGTAGGATCCACACACGTAAAGAAATGTCCCCAAGAACATTTCTGCATTGCCCCTTTAACCATCATACCAACTACCTTCTCCCTGTAAGACTTTGGTGCTTACTTATCTGGATATTCTTAGCCACTGTCTTGATATTCTTAATTATCTGGCCTTAAATATTAGAGCTACAACCCGTGTTCTGTTTGTACGTTTTCACTGTCAGATATAATAATGGTTTTAAGAATAATGCAAGGGCTGATTTTTTAGCATATGAATGTGTACGTTTTTCTAGTCCCACTTTATATAGCACTGTGATTATTCACTGACACATAAAAAAATGTCTTATGTGGAAAGGTGCCTATGGTCAGTTACGTAAACTAGAGTTTTTCCACATAATGTCTAATATGAAAAACTTCTATGAGCAGTTATGTAAAATTTCTAGTTATGTAACATATGAAATAAAATATTATGTAAAAGAGTAGCATTTGATATTTTACATGCACTAAGAACAGTTCAAGGGTCTGTGACTGATGACGCTTGTGTAGCCGCCCCCATAAATAGCGGTCAGGGCATCTTGTTTTTCTCCCCACTGGATCAGAAGGCCTCTGCTTGGACAATGGGTCTTTTGCTGACGGCGCTTCCGGTCTGTCACTCTGCAGCTGGTACCCAGAGGGCCTATATGAGAGAAAGTGAGAAGGGAGGAGAGAGAAGATGTGTATGAAATACTGAAACAACCTAACCTTTCTCCTCATTTGTACTCACTATAAATATAATTTGTATCCCCCCTGACATGTGGGCCCTGTTTATATCTATCAGAGTTATAGGAAGATGTTAGGGGCAGGTCCTGCTCAGTAAGCAGTATCTTTAAATAGATACTCAGCATTACATGTATCTGTTGCTTTATTAAATCATGGACCAAAACAGACACCAGGGTGTTATAAAGAGAAAAGGTCTGTGGACGTACCTACGGTGCTTTGCAGTGTCTCTTGAATTAGTTATTTTGTTTGAGATAGATTTTAAACATTAGCAGAGGTGCCCCAGGACCCCGTCTGAGAGCCTGAGTTCCCACATGTCCAAGTTCACACCTTTTTATAGGTTAATGTACCTGCGGTGGGTAATGCTGACCATTTTAGTCATGTCGTGGAGTGGAGCTGTACTTTTGCATCTTCCTGCCATCATCTTTCTACTGTACTATTTCTCATCCAACAAATACCTCCTTTGCTTTACGGGAGAAACAGACATACCAGCCAGGTGAAACCAATGGAGAAAACTGCTTCATAAGTAGAATATTTCTGTATTTCTCACATTAGTTGGTTATCTGTATAAATAAACTTTAAGGATATGACACATGTTTATCTTGGACCCATTTTAATGCGATTTAGTTATGGAACAGACTTCATTTTAAAAGTGCCCTATCCCTTTGAAGGTAGATTTGAAGGCTTTGATCCTACGGAAATCACTACAAAGGGACTCCATTGAATGTAAGATGTAAAGTAATAAGTCTGATTCCAAAGGCTGCACCCCAAAATTGACTTAATTGCAATGGACGGGTTCAGTTTTAGTATTTAGCAACCTCTAAATTTCCTGGTTTAATCAACGCCCCCGCCCCCTTTTTTGGGGGTGGGGAGCTGGAGTTGCTGTTTTGGTTTACCGGCTTTAGTGCTCTCAAAACCTCCTCACCTTACTTCCAAGAAACCTTCAAATTAGTCTTTCAAGATCAAGGAGAAGATGCTTGCAAGAGTAATACGCACCCTATGTGCCTGCTTTCCTGAACAATGGCCCAGTCCTGTGTTCAGTATCACTACTTAGTAGTTGCTCATGTTTTAATGAAATGAATTATTTTCTGCTTAACATTTTTTCCACGTTTGTCTTCTTCTATTATGATCATGTGCAGAAATGGAAAGTGGCAATAGAAAGTCACGTGCTTCTGCACCGGGAAAAAAAATTAAAGAACGTAAAATTTACGTTTTTATCCTTTAGGATCTTAGCTTCCTTTGGCATTTTGCTCAAGATGAATAGAAAAATCACTTGGCTTTCTGTTTTTAGCATATTTACATTATCATTTTCAGCAGTATCTGCTTTTTATATGTTCCATTAGTGTTTGGAAATACTGCCTAACCCAATTTCCATAAATGGAACTTCAGAACATGACTTTTGCATTTTTTTCATATTTGAGTGTAATTTACTAGCACATTTGGAGTACATCTAGATAAGAGTAAGTCTTCAACGATTTTATCACAATTGTCTTTGGCCCCGTGTACATAATTAGTTTTAGTTGCACCTCAAAAATAAATTTTCCCTCTGGGAAACCTAGAGCAAAAAAATTAGGGGAAAAAAGAACCACATCTAACTCATTGTGAGATAGGCATCTTCTTCTGAAAGCATTACTTTGGGGAGTAGGCAGCTGGTTCAGGGGAACAAAACCGAACAAAATGACGGTAGTTTGAGATTATCAGTAGATACGCCTTAAACTCTCAGTGAAAGTTCAAAGAATTGGAGTAGGAGTTAAAGAACTGGAAAAAAATGCTACTTTTTTCTGCATTGTGATTACCATTCAGTTTTTCTCTTCCGTTTCTGGTTTTCCAACACCAGTTGGCTACTGAACTTTTGACTGCCAATTTTGACAGGTTTACGTCTTTTATTACTAGTAGGCCCGATGTGCATTGTTCAGTATCCTTAATTGGCATCTCTTTTCTGAAAATTTTTACTTAACAGCTGATAGTGTCACTCAGCTCACTCCTCCAGATGTTGAATTCCTGGAAATCTCTGATGGTGTTTGACAATAGTAGTTGGGATTTTAGGAGACTACTGCAGTCTTCTAGAACTTTCCCTTACCCCATTGTCTGACCTTTTGCTAGGAACATATAGACCCCATCTGATGCCACAGCCTAATCAACAACTATTGATCCATCTTGCTTTCTAACTACCATTGCTATTTTTTCTAAGTCTCTTAGGTCTTTAAAATTTCTCTTGTCTTAGAGTCTCATGTCACAGAGATAGGTGAGCCTGCAATTTCCTTAGATTTAGGAGAGAAAGGCACTAGATGGGAAGAGGTATAATTACTGGGTATAAAGTCTGGTTGTACTAGACATAGAAAAGATTGGCTTTATGAGTCAGCAAAAGAAGCTGGCTATCAACCCAGTGTCATTCTAACAATGCTAGGAAGGCCCTTTGGTCCTTAATAAAGCATCTTCCACTTGAATTACTCATGCCTGAAATTCTGTATTTAGATAGTAATTCCTTTGACTTAAATGCATCATCCTCTGTTAAATGAAAAATAGCATAGAATAGCATCAAATCAGAATACCATAGTGGGTAGAAACCAGAAAATTATCCAATCTAGTACATAGCAAGCCTTTTCAGAAATAGGTGTATTCATATCTTTGGTTCTTTCTTGCAAATAAAATTTTACGGAGAGGCAAGTAGAAATAAAATGAAGATGCCAGGCATAGTGCTATAGGAATACAGGTTAAGGGAGCTGAGGGTTTGCCCCCCCACCCCCCCAAAAGCAATTCTACTACTCCACAGTTTTCTCTAGGGCCAGGTCTAAGTCCCAGGAAACAAGAAGTCTGTCATACTAATTTGAATTAAAGATCAGGGAATTTACTCATTCCTTTCTACCATACCCCTTGCAAAGCTGAAGTCATTTTCATTTCAGTATGTTTCAAATGTGCCAGCCATTCTTCTGTAAAATGTTGATACTGTTATCAGTTTCTCCCGGAAATACAATGTTACTTTCAAGGATTTTTTTTCTTTTTCTGCATTTTGAATATTTGCAGCTTTAGGATTCAGTTCGCTTACTTAAAACCTGGAAGTTTTAGCATCTGTCCCCACTTACCTTGGAGGATGTTGGGAGAGTATTTTCTAACGCGACGGACCTTCCTTAGAGACTGTCGCTGAGACAACTGCAGAACTTATTTCAAAGCAGGCCAGAGGAGAGCTGGGTGTGGTAAGGTTAAAAAGAAGAGCAGCCAGGAATGAGCTAGGCTAATTGGCATTAATATGGTCATGAGTAGGGTCAAGTTGAAAGTGATGTGGAGGACTTCAGAGCATCTTGAACGCTAAGCCTAAGAAGAGCCTTCCTAGCTTGGCAAAAACCAATTAAGAAACTAAATTTTTTTTTCTAGCTATAGAAATATTATAGAAGCATGCAGTTTTTGTGTCACTTTTTTTTTTCATTTTAACCCCCGAATGTTGCATTTAGCATGGAGGTAAGACTTTGACCAATATTAAAAAGATGGTTGTCTTAAATCTATGCTCCTTCCCTCTACAGCTATGCACTAATCATTTAACCTTCATTCGCCTTCTCCCTCAGCCCAGCAGGGCTCCGTTACAGCCCTTGTCATGGTCACTGGGTGGGGGGGAGCCTTCCCTCCGTCAAGGATGAACCATCACCCATCCAGTCTGTTCCTCTGGAAGTCAGCTTTATTGGCCTCCAAAAAACACATCCTTTTGCAACTCCCTTTTCTAGCCTGAGCTGTCATTTAGTTTCTTACCCAGTTACCGAGTGCATAACGATGGCTTTGTAATTCGTTGTCACCAGCCAGGACATTAGACTGGGCACCTGAAACCCAGTGAAGAGCTCTTACGTGACGATAGGAGTCCCGCTGTAGCCCACATGTTATCTGCTCCTGAGCACTGAGTTTCCCTTCTCTAACAGCGGGGAGAATCATTTCTGAGTACCACAGCACGCCTTGAGGAAGCCTTGTGTTTTGGGGGTGATACAGTTGAGTGTTAGTATATTCCATTCCTACCAAGTACTCCGTGAGATGAGTTGCCGAGATGGCAATGAGTAATGGAACTGCACCCTTAAAAATGAAATCGTGCCTCACCCTGCTCAGTCCAAGTCACGAAAAGCTGTGACTTCACTCTACTTGGGTTTGGGTGTCTTCAGTGGTCATTGACTATTGCAGTGTAATTAGCTTATCACCTATTTCAATGTCAGAGTGTTTTTCTACTGGAACTTAGGCAGATGGATTTCATTTTATGTGATAGCTAATTACTTTTCGTGAGCGTGGTAATTATCAGACTGCTCAAGTGAAGGACGGGTGGGTTCTGCCTTCCCAGAGGTATCATAAAAATTGGTTAAAATGAATAACAGAATAGAGGTCTTGCTAAGTGTATCAATTAGAAGTAACCACTGTTCTTGTCACTAAGAGGCTCTTTTTCCCACCGTCCGCCTCTCCTAATATGAGAGGCCTTTTGTTTCCTGAGTGAAATGTTGCTAACCTGTGCAGGTGACATGCCTTGGAGTTTGGGTGGGTGGGTGGCTGGGTTAAAGCGAATATGAGCACTGCTGCACACAAACGCGGTGCGGGTTTTTTTTCTCTGGTGTGTGTGTGTGTGGAGGGAGGGGGGGTAATAGATCTTTGGTGATGTGACCGCGTGCGTGCATCCGCGGTTGGTTCTGTTTGGGGGGAAGGTCCCGGCTCCGTGCACTGACCGTGGGCGTCTCTCTGTTGTCGTTTGCAGCTTTAACACCTCCCGGTGCAGGCATGCTTGGGTTTCCTACTTCAGCTACTTCGTCTCCTGCCCTGTCTCTCAGCAGTGCCCCCACCAAACCCTTGCTGCAGACTCCACCTCCTCCTCCTCCTCCTCCTCCCCCACCCCCTCCTCCTCCATCCTCTCTGCCAGGACAGCAGACCGAGCCGCAGAACAAAGAATCGGAGAAAAAGCAAAGTAAGCCAAACAAGGTCAAGAAAATCAAAGAGGAGGAATTAGAGGCCACCAAACCCGAGAAACACCCCAAAAAAGAGGAAAAGCTCTCATCTGCGCTTTCCGTGTTGGGCAAAGTCGTGGGCGAAACGCACGTGGATCCGACGCAGCTGCAGGCGCTGCAGAACGCGCTGGCGGGCGACCCCACTTCCTTCCTGGGCGGGCAGTTCCTGCCTTACTTTATCCCCGGGTTCGCTTCCTACTTCACCCCTCAGCTCCCCGGAACCGTGCAAGGAGGGTACCTCCCGCCCGTGTGCGGCATGGAGAGCCTGTTCCCCTACGGCCCCGCCGTGCCGCAGACCCTGGCCGGCCTGTCCCCGGGCGCGCTCCTGCAGCAGTACCAGCAGTACCAGCAGAGCCTGCAGGACGCCCTGCAGAAGCAGGACAAGGCGCCGCCGGACCCGCCGCCCAAGCCCGGGCCGGCGAAGCCCTCCAAGGCGGACGGCGACCCGCCGCCGCCCGGCTGCAGCGAGCCCTCGGAAGCCAAGGAGGGCAAGGGGGCCGCCACCGAAAGCACAAAGGAAGAGCCCCCGTTGGAGTCCAAAAGCGCAGACTTTTCAGACACTTCCGTGGTCCCGTTCGTCAAGTACGAGTTTATATGCAGAAAGTGCCAGATGATGTTTACGGACGAAGACGCCGCCGTCGGTCATCAGAAGTCCTTCTGTTACTTCGGTCAGCCTCTGATTGACCCCCAGGAGACAGTGCTTCGCGTCCCGGTCAGCAGATACCAGTGTCTCGCCTGCGACGTGGCCCTCGGCGGGAACGAAGCGCTCAGCCAACACCTCCAGTCCAGCTTGCACAAAGAGAAAACAATCAAACAAGCAATGAGAAACGCCAAAGAGCATGTTAGATTATTACCTCACTCAGTCTGCTCCCCGAATCCTAGCAGCACATCTACCTCACCGTCTGCAGCTTCTTCTAACAACACCTACCCGCATCTTTCTTGCTTCCCCATGAAGTCCTGGCCTAATATCCTTTTCCAAGCGTCCGCCAGGAGAGCTGCTTCTTCCCCCCCGACCCCCCCTCCCCTGTCCTTGCCTTCAACGGTTACCTCAAGTTTGTGCAGCACCTCAGGGGTTCCAACCTCACTACCCACAGAGAGTTGTTCAGACGAGTCTGACAGTGAGCTGAGCCAGAAGCTAGAAGACTTAGACAATGCTTTGGAAGTGAAGGCTAAGCCCGCTTCTGGCCTAGATGGTAATTTCAATAGCATCCGAATGGATATGTTCAGTGTGTAGGGGTGAAGACAGGATCCCGTGCTTAAAAAAAAAATAAAAAAAAATAAAAAAATTTAAAAAAAATAAAAAAATAAAAAATAAGACTTTAACTGCAGTTCCAAAGCTTGTCTAACCCAAAAATTACAGTACCAAATGATTGACTCAGGATTGTGCTCCCCATATGGATATGCTGGCAATATAGGATGGTATGTAATGGACAGAAGTGATGCACATGGTTGAATGCGCTTGTAATATATGCTACAATGTGGAAAAGGAAAAAAAAAAAATCTCACAAGTTCTTCCGGAACTTGTTTCAAGCCAAAAACTCTCAAGAAAAGCAAATTGCACCTCAGCTGGATTGATTTCCAAATGCTAGCATGGACTGTATGGGAGAATGATCCAGAAGTTTTCAAAGAGAATTTCTCTTAGTTTAGTTAGGTGTAATTCAGTAGCTTTAAATTCTCAGGTCAGAACATAACATTTCTCATTTGTTTTAAAAAAAAAAAAAAAGAAAAAAAAAAAAGCAGCAAAGAAGCCTGGTAAAACTGTGACTTTTCCCCAAACGTCAATCTTTATTAGAAAGCATTTTCTAGGTGTGTTTAGTGTACAAAGAGACTTTATAATAACCCTTACTGGACAACACACAGATGCTTGAGGTCACGCTGCAAGGTAGTAGTTTTACCACACAGTGGGTGAGGAGCAGTGGAATCCCGTGTCTGCCACAAGCTATATTTATACCAGTGTCACCCTTTTCTTGTAGAATATACTAATAATCTGTGCCAACTCTACCTTCTTCTCACTTTTACCTCTGATGTCATTCTTTTTTTTTTTTTCTGGAAGAGGTAATAATTCTAGTTTTGATAGACTCCGAGGATTATGTGAACAGGACATTTTTCATTTGTGAATTTAATGCTATACTGTCAAGGTACTGCTCGTGTCGGAACTCTAGTGCACTTATGATTTCGTAGACCATGTGAAATTGAATAAGGGACTTTTTTGTTTGTTTGTTGTTTTTTTTTGTTTTTTTTTT